AGAATAAAATAGGTTCCTGGTCTCGCCTCTAAGATTAGCTCAAGTGTTGTTGGTGATCACATTTTCAAGATCTTAGGATATTGTAAAGTGTAATGATAGTCCTAAAACAACATTGAGGGTATGATGTTAGAAGAAAACGATCATATTGAATCGACCCAATACTTGTATGCTATACTATGTGATTATATCGTCTGAAATCATTTGTTATACTACCGCGCTGAACTACTACCATACTATCGCTCATTTACAGAGCACTGGAAATAGGCGGAAGTCCTGGCAGTACTAAATAGCGGTACCGCTTATGTGCCTCGGGAAGGGCCAAGCACAAGGAAGGACAAGCTCCGAAGCCGGGAAAGAAATGGGGTGTAAATAGACTATGTATGTGTTGATTCCACCCAAACCTTTCAGAAGCGGACCCCCTCTTAATAGTATGGTGATCCTACGACTCAAATCCGCCGAAAATGAAACACAAGAAAAACACTGTCTTTGCAATAACTCCGAGGGGAAAGAATCGTCTTGTGCCATATGATAGTTTCTCTGAAATGCTCAATGCACACGATTAGTCCGCACAAGCATTGTCATCAATCACCAAAACCACTAAGGGAGAAATATGCCCCAACAAGACGAGTAGGAATTAAGCTTGGGGATGCTTGATACGTCTCCAACATATCTATAATTTTTGATTGTTCCATGCTATTATAGTATCAACCTTGGATGTTTTATACGCAATTATATTTTTTTTTTGGGACTAACCTATTAACTTAGTGCCAAGTGCCAGTTGCTATTTTTTGCTTGTTTTTGGATTTCCAAGAAATCAGTACCAAACGAAGTCCAAATGCACGAATTTTTTTGATGATTTTTCTTCTGGACAAAAGAGACCCTAGAAGCTTCGGGAGGAGACCAGATGTGCAACGAGTATGCGACAAGGCACTTGGGCGCGCCCAAGTACCTTGTGGGCCCCTCGTGGCTCCGTCTGACCTAATTCCACCTTTATAAATTCTCTAAAATTGGGAAACCAACAGAGAGCCACCCAAAATACTTTTTCCGCTGCCGCAAGTTTCTGTTCTTTGGAGATCCCATCTGGAAGCCTTTTTCGGTACTTTGCCGGAGGGGGAATTGATCACAGAGGGCCTCTACACCAACCTTGTTGTTGTTCCGATGCTATGTGAGTAGTTTACCACAGACCTACAAGTGCATATCTAGTAGCTAGACGGCTTCTTCCCTCTCTTTGATCTTCAATAAAATGGTCTTCTCTATGTTCTTAGAGATCTATTCGATGTAATCTTGTTTTGTGGTGTGTTTGTTGGGATCCGATGAATTGTGGGTTTATGATCAGTTTATCTATGAATATTATTTGAGTCTTCTCCGAACTCTTTTATGCATGATTGTTATAGCTTTGTATTTCTCTCCGATCTATCCGTTTGGTTTGGCCAACTAGATTGATTTATCTTGCAATGGGAGAGGTGATTTGCAATGGGTTCAATCTTGTGGTGCTCTATATCCCAGTGACAGAAAGGGACACGACACATATTTGTATTGTTGCCATTAAGGATAAATCGATGGGGTTTATTCATATTGATTGAGTTTACATTGTCTACATCATGTCATCTTGCTTAAGGTCGTAAGGCGTTACTCTATTCTTTATGAACTTAATACTCTAGATGAATGCTGGACAACAGTCGATGTGTGGAGCAATAGTAGTAGATATAGGAAGGAGTCGGTATTTTTGTCTCGGACGTGATGCCTATATACATTATCGTTGCCTTGGATATCGTCATAACTATGCGCTTTTTTCTATCTATTACACAACAGTAATTTTTTTACCGACCGTATGCTTTTTCTTTGAAAGAGAAGCATCTAGTGAAAACCATGTCCCTCGGGTCTATCTTTATCATATATTAAAATCCAAAAATACTTTCCTGCAATTTATTTACCATTATTTTATTTTGTGGTTTTGTTTATCTGTTTACCATTGCCAGACTTGATCCTTGCAATTAACCGCCGAGGGGATTGACAACCCCCTTGATCATGTTGGCTGCAAGTATTTATTCTTTTGTGTGTAGGTGCCGCTCACGATGTCTTGCATGGTTCTCCTACTTGATTGATAACCTTGGTTCTTAACTGGGGGAAATACTTATCTTTACTGTACTGCATCATCCTCTCCTCTTTGAGGAAATTCCAACGCAGCTCACAAGTAGCACATACTACTCCTTAAACTTTGTTCAATCACAAATGATCGTCCAACGATGGGTGAGGGTGAATGGCTTGTCCCCATGTTGGGACTTTAAGCCTTCCAAAGCTTCGAATGCATACAAATGAAAATAAAGGCAACAATATATATTCATATTCAATTGAGATGAAAGCAACAATCAACAAGATCCACAAATGTGAACTAGGGGAGGGAGTGGAGTACCATGTCTTTGACGCTTAGGCCACTCACGGGGCCGCCTTTGATGATCTCAAGGGTGGCATAAAACTTGTTGCACTCTTGTCGGATGAACCCCCACCTCTTCGCGATCAATACGTCGCCACAGTTGCTCTCAAACTTGTAGAGCGGGAACTTCCTACGTTCATGGAAGTATGTATGGACCCTTGCCCAGAACATTGATCCTTTTTGCTCGGCGCCGGTCTTGGGGTCTTGTCCAATTTCCTTCCAACCTCCGCAAATCAAGTTCTTCATCCCTGGTTTATGCTCCCATCCTTTTCGTCTAATTTGCACACTGGCTTGTTGAGAGAGCTCATCGCGAAGCAATGATCCCCCCTCTATGTCCACATCATCTTCTTCCTCCTGGGCGTAGGTGTCTTATTGCCATTGGTCGTCTTGGCCGTTAATGTCTTCTTGGTTGTCGTGGCCGTTCATTTCTTCTTGGCCTTGCGTGAAGTGATTGCGGTCGTCTAGGCTTTGGGCCTTGTCGGCAGCGTAGTCTTAGCCAACCTTGGAAATGATGTTCTCCATGAAATCACTGTACTAGGTCGGGTCATCATGTGTTGGAGATATGCCCTAGAGGCAATCATGTATGATGATATTTCCTATGTGTTTATGAATAAAGATAGTCCTTGGACATTATCAATGATGTGTATTAGTAAGTACGTGACTTGTTTGTGGGACTATGCATTGTATGATGAACGTCCTAAAAGGTCCCTAGTCGAAAGGGCTATGTGGACGCGCAGCCGACTAGACTAGCATATGACACGGTCGATGGCTTGGTCTCACTAGCCATGGAGCATTGGATGCTAACCGGATAATATGGACTCGGAAGGATTTGGTCGGATTCGACGTAGTCGGATCCGAGTTGAGATAAGGTCCAAGTCGGTCAGACCCAACTATGAGACGTAGCGATATGCCATCTGTGAGTCTTTAGTACAACATAGTTCTATGTCCTAAGACCTGAGCTGGCACATGTACTCGGGATGGTGACAGACTTGCTTTGGGCCAACCAAACGCTACTCCGTGACTGGGTAGTTACAAAGGTGGGGTTTGGACTTGTCCAGACCCATGCTGCGAAGACATGGTCGAGCAAGAAGGGATTTGCCCCTCCGATCAGGAGAGATATACTCTGGGCCCCTCGTGTGATCCGACCAAGATAATCATGGCCATGCGATTAGGATTATGAGATAATCCGGTTTGTGGTCGACATCACTGGAACGAGAAAGAGGTCGGGCTAGCACAAGGATGACAGACTCGCCTTGAGCCCGACAATATATATCGTGTGGCAAAGGAAACAGATGTGTGATGTACGAGTTCGCCTAACCAGCTTCATCGAACACTTGGAGTCGGCACGCTTTGCTAGAGGCCCCTACCGACCAGCTGAGTCGGATGTGATATGACTCGCGACCAAGTGACCGAGAACCTAAGGGGCCGCGCGCTTAAGGGAAGGAACCTATGAGGCCCGGTCCGACTCCACGAGTCAGAAGTGATCCTACTCGGACTCGGATCCAGGCCGAACAGATTTTGGGCTTTAGGGTCCGTGCGAGGCCCAAGTATTGAGCCCACGACGGACGCCTATATAAAGTGGGGGTGCGGCACACTCATGAGATTGATCGCTTCGGCGCTGTCACCAGGGTTTGCATGTGTTGCGAATAGCCACCTCCACTCGACCGACGACTGTGTGATCGGACCTAGCAGTCCGCCGCATGGTGTTCCTCTTGCACGCGCGAATACCGTTAGAGTCGGTGCACTTGCGCCGCTCCGGCGAACCTGCACGTGGGAACCGACGACCGACTGTTCGAGGGAGATCGGACAAGGAGGAGACGCGCTGCCCCAACTCTTCTTCCGCTACACGGCACTGCGTGTTTAGTGGTAACGACCTGTAATCCATCTCCCATAACATGTTATTGGTTGTTCTGCGCGTAGGAAAATTTTAATTTGTAGTCGATGCACCCTACCGTAGAACCCAACATCATGTGTCGTCGTCGGGCTGGCGTATCGTCGAACAGGTTGTGGGCGTCGGGAAGATTGCCCATAGGGATCTCCAGCGACCGCTTCCTTTGCGTCCTGTTGGACATCTGGTAGGTAACATGTGTGGCGTTGAGGTCGATGGCCGTGTGCACGGGGATGGCCAGTGCGATCACACTCACTTTCGACGAGGTGGAGAAGCGAGATGCGCCTGGGTCGTGTAGGGGAGGGACCCGTGCGTCTGCGGCGTTGTGGAGGTGCACGACGACTCCGGACGTGGCAGGCGGGTAGCCAAGGAGCATGTGCTCGCCGCAGCCATGGCGGCAGCAAGAATGGGCGGCTCGTCACAACGGAACCCTAGTATGAGGAGGGCCTGCTACGTGGCCTTGACAATGAGGGCCTCGTTCTCTAGAACGATGGCCTGCTGTTGCACGGGGGCGACAACTTTTTGCTCTGCCTCGCCCAGCCCTCTTCAGCATCTCTTCCGACGTGTGCACCATTTTAAACTTCTTCGAATGAGGCGACCGACGAAAAAATCAGGATAAATGTGTCACCGACAAACGGGTCAGAGAAAGAATAAAGATGAACATCGCGCGTTCACATCATGTCCGCAATCTCGCAAACCCGACTGGCCGGAAATGAGTCGGCGGCGGACAAAAAGGACAACTACCAAGAAAAGGAGCGCATTTCACACCCCCCTCCCCCCCCAATCTTCAGTAATCCACCACCGTGCTCCCTCCCCACATCCGCCACTTTGTCGCCCTCGGCGTTTCCGCCGCGCTCGTGGAGGAATTTGGGAATTGAGGATCCTCTGTTTCGTTGTTTTAGAAGACGACGCGGAGGCCGGGTTTTTCTTTTTGGGGCAATGGATGTCGATGAGTCCTCGCCGTCGTCGCTGCTGGCCTCGCCCTCTTCTCTTTCCTCTGACTCCATTGACCTCAATTTCCTGCCGTTCCTGAGGAGGGAGCCCAAGTCGGAGCCGGCTTCTCCTGAGCATGGCCCTCTGCCGCCACCGCTACCGCTGCCACCGCAGGCCACGGCGGTGGTGTTCGCGGCACCGACAACGCCTGACCTGTCTTCGCCTGAGGTCCTGACGCCTCTGCAGTCGCTGCCACCAAACCCCGACGAGGACGCGCTCTTCGCGGAGTACTGCCGATTGGCGAGCCTCTACCTGTTATCAGCGGGGGCCGGGGCGATCGTGCCAGCGCCGACGCCTGAGGCCGCGGCGCCGGCGGCAGTGCAGCCTGGATCGGGGTCCGCGGCGAAGAAGCGCCGGCCGCGGTCGTCAGAGTTGGTACGGGTGTCCTCACTTAGCGTGCGGGATCAGATCTATTTTCGTGATTTGGTGCGCCGGGCGCGCATCACCTTCGAGTCGCTCCGCGGCCTGCTGCTGAAGGACGACGAGCGCGCGGAGGCGCTCGGTCTTGCGGGCGTCATCGGGCTTGGCTCAGTGGACCGGCGTCGCGTGCGCGCCGACCTGCGGGCTGCGGCGCTCATGGCCGACCGAGACCTGTGGCTCAACCGCGACCGCCGCATAGTGGGGCCGATACCTGGGATTGCTGTCGGCGATGCCTTCTTCTTCCGCATGGAGCTATGTGTGCTGGGCCTCCATGGCCAGGTGCAGGCCGGGATTGATTATCTCTCAGCAGGGCAATCTGCCTCAGGCGAACCTATAGCCACATCTATTATTGTCTCTGGTGGGTATGAAGATGATGATGATCGTGGTGATGTACTCGTGTACACCGGCCATGGTGGCCGAGACCCCAACCTGCACAAGCATTGCGTCGACCAGAAGCTTGAGGGCGGCAATCTTGCCCTCGAGCGCAGCATGGCCTATGGTATTGAGATTCGTGTAATCCGTGCTGTCAAGTCTAAGCGCAGTCCTGTTGGAAAGGTCTACTTCTACGACGGCCTCTACAAGGTTGTTGACTACTGGCTCGACCGCGGGAAAGCAGGCTTTGGTGTTTACAAGTATAAAATGATTCGCATTGAAGGGCAGGAGCCCATGGGATCTGTGAATTATCGCGCAGCTGAACATCTTAAGGTGGATGCACTATCTATGCGACCAACTGGGTACCTGAGCTTTGATATTTCCATGGGTCGAGAGATTATGCCAGTTGCACTATATAATGATGTCGATGATGATAGGGACCCACTCTTATTTGAGTACCTGGCACGGCCAATATTCCCATCTTCTGCAATTCAAGGGAAGTTTGCTGTGGGTGGTGGTGGGTGTGGGTGCATCGAGAATTGCTCAATTGGATGTTATTGTGCAGAAAGGAATGGGGGTGAGTTTGCGTATGATAAAGCTGGTGTTCTTCTAAGGGGCAAACCACTGCTGTATGAGTGTGGTCCATATTGCCAATGCCCACCTAGCTGCCCCAACAGGGTTAGTCAGAAGGGGCTTAAGAATAGGCTTGAGGTGTTCCGGTCAAGGGAAACTGGGTGGGGTGTTCGATCTCTGGATCTCATTAAGTCTGGCACGTTCATCTGTGAGTTTAGTGGGATTGTGCTTACTCATCAGCAGTCAGAGATAGTGGCAGCCAGTGGTGATTGTTTGGTGCATCCGAACAGGTTCCCTTCAAGGTGGTTAGATTGGGGTGATATCTCTGATGTATATCCTGAGTATGTCGCTCCGAACCATCCTGCCACTACAGACTTGAACTTTTCGATTGATGTCTCAAGGGCAAGGAATGTGGCTTGTTATTTCAGCCATAGTTGCAGTCCAAATGTATTTATTCAGTTTGTGCTGTTTGACCACTACAACGTGTCTTATCCCCACCTCATGATCTTTGCCCTGGAGAACATTCCGCCCTTGAGGGAGCTAAGCATTGACTATGGAATGATTGATGAATGGGTTGGAAAGTTAACTATGTAGTCAGTATCCACTGGAAGGCAAATTCTTCTTTCGTTTTCCTTTGTGTAACATTTTCGTAATGCTTCTCTTGGGATAGTCGAGGAGATTGCTGCTAGAAGTTACTCTGCTGGTAATATTCCCAACCCTTGCTGTAATTTTGTAGTCTTGAGCTTTACATGGTTGTATTTCAAAGTCGTTTTTTTATGTCATTCATCACCATTATATGTGGCTTATCTTATGCCTGTGTGACCTGTTCGATTTTCTCTGTTTCTTAACTTCCTTCGCGGTTTGTTCTGCTCCCACCAAGGATCATAAATCTGTTACATGTGTTATTTCTAGAATCACGAGGTATCTGGCTTATGTATGGTCAAGCCTGCTTAGTTTTCTTCCTAACAATTGCCCATCAAGCTAGCAATATTTCATAAGCAACACATATTATACAAGAGATTGATGAGCATGATAAACAGTTTAATTGAATAGCTGAGCCGCCATATGGAAAATTCAGTATTTCTGTTGCTGTTCAAGAGAGTGCTTGTTAAGAGATTCAGTTGCCATGGTTCCTTGAGCAAGATTAACATTGACATGGATTATTCTTGACACATTCAAGTTATTTGTGTTGGGACACCTAAATTAACCTTTATACTACCTTTCTATTTAGGAGATGGCAACAATATATATATAAAGTATATCACTAATCATTTCAAGTTATTTGTGTTGGGACACCTAAATTAACCTTTATACTACCTTTCTATTTAGGAGATGGCAACAATATATATAAAGTACATCACTAATCATTTGAAGAGTTTATTCTTGATTGGAACAGAACTGTTATAGTTTATAAGATGCTTTGTACAGATAGACAAGTGGAAGAAATTGTGCATAGTTCTAGTATACTAAGGCTGTATCTGTTACATTACATATACTACTCCCCCAGTACTAAATCTGCGACAATTAATATGAAGGAGGGGCTAGTACCTAACTCCCTTTGTTGATTTATTCACTTACATCAGTGGCGACCCACTGGAAATTTTATGCTTATTTTCTGAGTGATGGCCATATTATTCACTACATTCGCCACAGCAACTGACATTGGCGGTTATTTACTCTATTCTTAGACGGCTAGGGACTAGGCTAATCCATTTAATACTTCAGGGCGTTGAGTAGACGCACCATTGAAGTTCAGCAGAGTATTGTGACTTTCCCTAACAATAACAAAGGGTTGAATTATGCTTCTATGCCAGTAACTAGAATACATTCAGCTACACGACTGGATTACATAAAAAATATCCAATGGTGAAATACTTGCTAGGTAGTATCTGTAGGCACCTTATAAAGTTTTTTCAAGATACATATTATACTCCCTCCTATCCATATTAATTGTCCCTGGTTTAGTACAACTTTGTACTTAAGATTGCCAGTAGTCTACTTTCCACTATTTGGTATTTTGACTGTCATACAGTCTTGTCCTGAGCTCACTATTTACAATTCCACATTTCTTTCTGATGCTGAAGATGGTTTGTGCAGTGAATGGAAGGTTCTTCTAATATGACTTAGATGTGCAATACTTAGGGCACATCTAGGTGTGCTTTAGCAAAACTGTTATTATAATATTGCTTGCCTTCTCACGGCGTACATGGAGTTTGTGAGCTTGAGCTCACATGCACCATTTGCTGCAGTGAAATCCAAAAAATATATTAAAACAATTTAGAAAAGTCTGGTTGTTTTTTGGCAACAAACACTGATTTGTGTTTTGCATGTGGGCAAAAGAAAAGTTGATGCTCAGCACTATATAGTGTACACATAACTTTGAATAATGACAATTGGATGCAGTCGACCAGACAGTATCTGAGCGTTGATGATCGTTAGATATTTCCTTTACTACACCAGATTTTGCCACACATACTATCTAGAAGATTATATGTTTGGCCTTAAGCCCTATGGACATTTTTCACAAAAATTAAACACGCTTCTACTTTGTTCTAAACGGGACTGGTAATGGAGCCAGGTAGCAGTTTGATCGTGGTGTAATAGGAGCATTTACTTTTGTTTGTTTCATGCATGCAAAGGTATCAAGTTACAAAACTGTGTTTGGATGTGGTGTGTAATCAGATTACATCACAGAATCAAACTGGCACTAGTTTAAATATGACATCAGTGAGCACAATTTCAAAACCATCAATTTGACATAGAATTTTAAAAAGCATTTAACATGAATAAAACACAAATACATCACTACAAAATTAGGATTTAAACACACTTCAAATAAATAGAGTGCCAGAATTTAAGGACACTTGGGAGGTATAAATGAGGCCCTTGCAATCAGCTTGCAAACCAGAATTTAAGGACACTTGGGAGGTATAAAACCACAGACACAAAATCGTAATTTACATCATTTTCCAAGTCAAGGCCCTTCGAAGCCAGCTCTTTTTTTTTTTTTTGAAACAAGGCATAAGATTTGCCATTTTCATTAATTAAGGAGGAGTTTAAGACAAAAGCCGTCAGACGGCAAAAAGGCAAAATTACAAGACTACTCTCGCGATATAAGTGCTCTCAGGTGTTTGGCTCCCGCCAGCGCTCAAAGATGGGCCTCCTCTTTGATCTTGGCAACCACAATGGTGACCGGTGAAGCCGTGTTGTGAAAGATTCTAGCGTTCCGCTCTTTTCAAATTTCCCAGGTGAGCAGCATCATAATAGAGACTATTGCTTTCTTGATATGTCCTCCCGTGTTGATCGTCTTCAGCCACCAGTTATGCACAGTGCTTTCATGACGCCAAGCCAGCGACGAGTGGCTTTGCATGCCAAGCCAATCAACAACCTCGTTCCAAATACAAGCGGTGAATCTACACTGAAATAGAAGATGTGCGGGCGACTCCTGTGTTTGCTTGCATAGGGGGCAAATACCACAGTTTGGCCAGCCTCGCCGTTGTAGTCGGTCCGCTGTCCACACATGGTTTTGTATGACAAGCCAAGCAAAAAATTTGCATTTCGGCGGGGCCCAGCTCTTTCATATTGTGGATGAAGTTGGGCTGAGGACGTGGCCTGCAAACTGCACCATGTACATCGTAGCCGCTGAATATTCACCATTGAAAGTGAATTTCTAGGAGATAGAGTCCTTCCTATCAAGATTGAGATCAACATCATCAATCATCTCCCAAAGGGCCAAACTCCTTGATATGTGTCAGAGTCCTTGGCTAATGTCAATTTGTCGGATCCAGAAGTTACATCCAGAGCCTTGCCGACCAAACGCGCCTTCTTTTTAGATATCTTGAAAATCTCAGGCACAGCCTCCTTAGGCCGGAGGCCATTTAGCCAAGAGGATTCCCAGAAATTGGCCTTTTTGCCATCACCAATAGTCACAATTGTGGACACCGAGAAAAGATCTCTATCACTGTCGCTGAATGGCGTTTCCATTCCCGCCCAAGTTTTAGGAGGTCAGTCCATTCAAACCAGAGCCAGCGGAGGCGAAGGGCGGTCGCAAATTTCTCGATGTTAAGCACACCCAGGCCACCAAGGATCTTGGGCTTGCACCTAAGCTCCCAATTAACCTTACACTTTCCACTAGACACCTTATCACAACCAACCCAAAGGTAAGCACGTCTCAAGCTATCGATCTTTTTTCCAAACTTCAGCAGGGAGCTCCAGTGGTGTGAGATGATAGATCGTAGTGGCCGTAAGGACCGCTTTGACCAAAACAGAGTGTCCGGGGGCAACAACATGCATAGCTGACCAAGGTGGAAGCTTGGCCGCAACTTTGTCCTCAAGGTACTGGAAGTGCACATGCTTGAGTCTCGTGACCGACAGGGGAGACCAAGATACCGCAAGGGAAAAGAGGTCCGGACCACTGGGAATGCCTGAAGGATGTCATCAAGGTCAATGTTGGCACAACGAATGGGCGCGACCAAGCTCTTGCCGCAGTTGGTGACAAGTCCAGTGACGCCCCCAAAGGCCAAAAGCGCTGAAGCTAGGAATTGGATATCTTCTTTGAAAGGAGCGACGAAGATGGCTGCATCGTCGGCATATAAGGAGGCCCGAATAGGGTTGCCACAGAGGGGATGTGCTACCTCTTGAGCACTGCGTTGGTTTTGTTGGGGAACGTAGTAATTTCAAAAAAATTCCTACACACACGCAAGATCATGGTGATGCATAACAACGAGGGGAGAGTGTGATCTACGTACCCTTGTAGACCAACAGCGGAAGCGTTATATCAACGCGGTTGATGTAGTCGTACGTCTTCACGATCCGACCGATCCAAGCACCGAAACTACGGCACCTCCGAGTTTCAGCACACGTTCAGCTCGATGACGATCCCCGGACTCTGATCTAGCAAAGTGTCGGGGAAGAGTTCCGTCAGCACGACGGCGTGGTGACGATCTTGATGTTCAACTGTCGCAGGGCTTCGCCTAAGCACCACTACAATATTATCGAGGATTATGGTGGAAGGGGGCACCGCACACGGCTAAGAAAACGATCACGAGGATCAACTTGTGTGTCTAGGGGTGCCGCCTGCCTCCGTATATAAAGGACCCAAGGAGGGGTGCGGCCGGCCCTAGTAGGAGGCGCGCAGGAGGAGTCCTACTCCTACCGGGAGTAGGACTCCCCTCCCTTTCCTTGGCCAAGTAGGAGAGGGGGAAGGAAGGGAGAGAAGAGAGGAAGGAAGGGGGGGCGCCGCCCCTCCCTCCTTGTCCAATTCGGACTAGGGGGAGAGGAGGCGTGCGGCCTGCCCTGGCTGCCTCTCCTCTTCTCCACTTTAGGCCCATGAGGCCCATTAACCCCCCGGGGGGTTCCGGTAACCCCCCGGTACTCTGGTTTTATCCGAAACTTCCCCGAAACACTTCTGGTGTCCGAATATAGCCGTCCAATATATCAATCTTTATGTCTCGACCATTTCAAGACTCCTCGTTATGTCCGTGATCATATCCCGGACTCCGAACTAACTTCGGTACATCAAAACTCATAAACTCATAATATAACTGTCATCGAAACCTTAAGCGTGCGGACCCTACGGGTTCGAGAACAATGTA